ACGCAGTCAAAGGGTTCACCCTTCGCAGCCGCCTCTTCTGGTCAAAGTGCTTTCGCTAAGAGCTCTGCCTCGCCCTTTGGAGCCAAGCCTCAGACCTCGTTCCCACCTCCAGCTGCAAAAGAAGTCAAGAATCCCTTTGGTGGCGCTGCGCAAGGTGGCTTTGAACTCAAGTCTACCTTCAAGGGCCAAGCCTCGCCTGCCATTGCTGAGCCAAAAGAAGACAAATCTTCTTCTGGGGCGTTCTCGTTTGGTGGCTCTTTTGACAAGATGGTGTCAACGTCCCGCAAGGGAAGCTCGTCGCCGAGTGAATCAATGGATGACACTGAAGATATCGAACCTGTGAACAAGGATACATTCTCAATTTTCGGCGGGGTAAGCAAACCTGCTTCGCAGGCTCCCACATCAATGTTCAGTTCAAAGACAACAACTCCGGCCGGGAACACCATGTCGATGTTTGGCCCCAATGCCGACAAAAACCGTGTGACCAGCCCATTGTCAGTACTGTCTGATAAGACAGAGACACCCAAGAAGAATTGGCCTAATACATCAAGTATCGATGTGGAGGCGCCATTGCCACCTGATTCCACCAGCCGGGCTAGTTATGCTGCCGGAGATACTTCTGCTTCCTCCAACGTGTCGAAGTCCTCCGTCGAGGATGCCCCGCTTCCTCCCGATTTCACCAAGGCGAAGAAGTCTTCACTCAAATATGAAGATGACGTTCCTCTCCCCCCGATTTCATTTCGCAGAAGAAGCCTGCTCCAAAGACGGACGACGCTCCTCTCCCCCCGACTTCCTTACCCAGAAAAAGCTCGCCCCGAAGACGGATGACGCTCCGCTCCCTCCCGACTTCCTCACCCAGAAGAAGTCTGCGCCCAAGACAGACGACGCCCCTCTGCCTCCCGATTTCATCGCTCAGAAAAAGCCTGCTCCGAAGACGGACGACGCTCCTCTTCCTCCCGACTTCCTCACCCAGAAGAAGTCTGCACCCAAGACAGAGGACGCCCCCCTTCCTCCCGACTTCCTAACAAAGCCCAAAAAGTCCGAGGCTGCGGTTGTCCCCGAGGACGCACCTCTGCCGCCTGACTTTACTGCAAAGCCAAAAGTCAACCCATCCGAAGAGGCAGTACCAATCCCAGATGAATCCGATGAATCAGACATCTCCGACGAAGACTCCGAGGCCGCAGATGAGTCCGACTTTAGTGATAGCGGCGAAGAAATCACACATGACGAAGCATTCCTCGCTAAATCCAAGCCATCGGCTCAGAGTTCGTTTGGTGCAGTTTCCGAGCAAAGCTCGACCGGAGGATTCTTCAGCAGTCCTGCTCGAAATGTGGATGACAAAGGCCGCCTTCCCCGGCAGCTATTTGGGGAGATGCCTAAGCAGCCAATCCTTCCTCCTCCGGGCCCAATTGCCCAAGGTAATCGCGAGCCCTACCGGTCACCGAGCCCGGTTCGGGTCGGAGGGAAAAAGAATGTGCTTTTCTCTGAGAAATCCCATAGCCGTAAGGGATCCACAGGCGCGTTGCACTCGCGTAAGGCATCTCTTACCCAGATTGCCCAGCGTGATGGCCACTTGAGAAAGGCCAGTGACGTTGCTCGCGAGGAGCAAGAGAAGCAGGCACGCGCACATGCAGCAGCTCAACTTCAGGAAGATGATGTTCTATCCTTGTCAGACGACGACGATGATGATAGACTCCGCGATGAGCTGGCTCAACCCGTTGAGCCCGTTGATACCCTGGACCCATTCTTGCCACACCAAAACTACATGGGCGAGACCGCGAAGCCAGGGATTGCCGGCCAGGTCGAGCGACTCTACCGTGACATCAACTCCATGGTAGATACATTGGGCATAAATGCTAGGTCGTTGGCGGGATTCCTTCTGCACCAGCAGCCCAATAAGCCCTCTGATATTGATGAGTGGGTGATGGTCCTCAAGAGCGACCAGCCCGCTGACATCCTCGACACGAAGATGGCCCTGAAGGACATCGAGAGATTTGACGAGATGATCGTTTCAATTGCGCAATCATTGGACAACCAGCGGGTGCAGGGAGTGGATGAAAAGCTCGATGCATGCCGCGACCTGCTCACAAAGCAGGTTGTCACCCTGCGGGGCCAGTTTGCAAGCATCCGCAAAACCCTTGACGCCCACACTGACATCGGCGCTATTCTCGAAGCACCACTTTCTGCCGAGCAAGGTGCGCTCCAGCATGATCTGCGCACCACATACACAAATATCCAGGTCAAGATGACTGCTCTTGAACAGGCAGTCTCCCTCCTGCGTGCCAAAATCGCCGACATTCCGCAGGCGAATGGCACAGGCAGGAACCGGCCAACTGTCGAGGCCGTCACCAAGACTATTGCTACAATGATGGGCATGGCCGAGGGAAAGAGCACAGACATCGATGTTCTCGAGGCACAGATGCGCAAGCTCGGTGTGGATATTGCTCCCACAGGACCCCCAAGCCGCGAGGCGTCCCCCTTCTCTACTCCTCGCAAGAACATTGCTGGCCGTATTCCCATGACCCCTGGGTCACGAGGCTCGATCGACGGTAGCGCCTACCACACCCCCGAGTCTGTTTCGCGTGGTCTCAACTTCCGGGCCAGCATCAATGGCTCAGTGAGACAGAGCCGTCTCCGCAGCGTCGAGGGTGCTGGCGAGCCTGCCCTCCCGCAAGAGGACGCCATCGAATACAAGGCCAAGAAGTCACGTCGCCAGCACTTGAATGCCAACTTGAAGAAGGCCTTCGAGGACAAGCAGGCCAAGGTGCGCGGCGTTGATGAGTGGTAGTTTCTATTTTTACTTTCTTCTCATTTCTCATTTCCTATTTGCTTTCATTTGGTTTTTCTCTGAAGATTCTTATCTGAGATTTGGGGAATTTGCTTTCAGCGTGGATTGGTATCAGGTGGTCTTAATTGGGCCAGGGAGTCATGGCATGCACATACGTACGTAGCGGATTTTTTTTCAGCGCCACGATGAGTGGCAAAATTAGCTATCAAATGCAAGCCCTATCTACATGCAGTTCTTTGCGTAAGCTTACCTGACAAGGTCTAGCTGTCAAGCCCTGTATTCGCAAGTGGAACCTGCTTTTGCCTCTCCAGCACAGAAGTCGACCTTGGTCAGCCCCCTATCTTTTGACACATCCATAGCACTTGACAAAGAATGTAGTTCGATCGATGGCATAGTCAGGGCTGAAGTAACAAAGGCAAAGTGAACGCACATCCTTACACCTCGAGATAGAACATAATTAGCTCCAAGGATTGTTCATCAAAGACATAGATATAGCTATAGAAAGCCATTGTATAATAAATGCCAAAACGTCTTTGTTCTAGCTCACGACGTAGAACTCATATAAAAGGCCGATTTCCTCGAGTCTATATCAAAACCATTGGCACCACTAGCAACCCTCCAAATATATTTCCAGCCAAAACTTTCCTTAGCCCTATTTCATCTACCAGCAAAATGCCAGCACGCGCGTTTGATAGGTGTCCTTTCATAGTGAACTCCGAGCGTATGGTGGACCCCGAGGACGTCGCCGCTCTTTGGATTACTATAGATTTCCCCGAAGCAATGAGACATACCCATAGTGACGAGCAGCTGATGGAGTTTGTGGTTCAGCAGATTCAAAACCACAATACTGGTATCTTCACTTCTGCACAGCATTACCAGCGACACTTCTGTCTCTCGTTACCAGTTGTTGAATTCGCTAAGGATGAGAACTTCAATGATTTTATGGCTCAGGCTGAGACCCTGGCACTCTGGTGGCTCAGAAAAATCCGCGCGCATGAGGCTCAGCTTGACCGGGAATTGCTTTTCCTTTAGTTTGACGAGGAAATAGTTCTGTGTGAGAAGACCGCCAAAAAGACATCCAAAAAGGCCGCATAAGCAGTCGGACTATCCTTGTATCGGACTGAGGGGACTGAGGCGAGAGGTATGTGGAGGTGTGTAGTCGAAAGGGTTCTCTGAGGGTATCCGATAGATGAATCAAGCAGCTATGTTAAAACGAGAAAAAGGAACAAGACACCCAGCAAAGACGTAGATTTGCATAAGTAACCAATAACACCTCAACCGTAAGTCCCAGTTTATGGGATCCATATTTTGATCAAATTCCACAGTCTGCGATTCTGGCTCGACAAAGTTGAACCACCACCAGTGTCAGGAAATGCCATTTGGTTGAAAAGAAACCGAATCTCAATATCAACAAGATAGCTATAGCGGATAGATTAGCCAAGTACCAAACGTAAAAGGACCTAGAGTGTCAGAGAAGCAGAGATCACAGGTCATGAGGGTATACTCTGCACCTTCTTAACCTAAATCAGGTTGCGAGAACAAAATCGCAATCCGCATCAACTTGCGGAGTATTTCCCACTGCGCAGCCAGGAGGTTTCCACCACGTGGGTTTGATTTCACCAAGGGACCAGACGCATTCGGACGGCATCCATGCTCAGGCAAGGCGATAACGATGTGGGAATCGTTGGATTTGAGAGTGCACCAGCGTCCACAACCAATGGTAGTACACAGGTATTAAATGAGCCATGGTTTCAGTTTGGGACAAGATGAGAAGCCACACGATCAAGAGCCCGAAAGCGATCAAATGGAACAGCATGAGGAAGCCCACAGATTCCCAGAAGACCATCCATTTCACGAGGCTGTATGTGAGGCTAGGACAGACGAGCCAGATTGAAAGGAGAGTGATGAAGTACAGTTGAATTGCTGTAAGTTTGAATGGGAGAGATAAGCCGGACATCATGATGGATGATGTATGATTGCATGGTATTGAGGAAAGAGACGAAAAGAGAGAGAAGAAGAGATGAAGGGAAAACCCAAGTACTCCATGATTCTAAGGAAGATACTACCTAGATAACTATACAAGGAAGGTGCAAAGGTGCAAAGGTATTTTCCTAATTGGGATTCTATAAGTGACATCATCCCGTGACATCAGCCATCTGTATTTTGATGTCTCTCTCAACTACACTATCATTAGGAAAAGCATCAACCCATCATGTCTCACAACGTTAGTCAGGTAATCTTTTTCCGCGTCAAATCTTCCGTCAAGCCCGAAGATCCATCCAGCGAGGAAGGCGATGCTCTACTGAAGATCTTCCGCGCGACCCAACAGCAAAGCGGCCATGAGAACTCATCCTGGGGACGCACTTCCGAAGATGAAGACACTATCGTCTGGGTTGTAGGTGAGTTCAGTATCCCCCAGAAACAACCCTCAAACTACAATATACCCACCTCCCTACAAACCTACAAGCTACGGCCTAACCAAACCAACAGAATGGACCGACGCCCGCAGCTCAGTAAACATCCGATTGCTCGACCCATTCCTGGCCCTAGACAATCTCCAGCCGCCGTCGTCACTTCGCGTCACGTTTAGCCCACCACTCTCCAGCACAGAAACCCTAACCAAAAACCCCGTGACTGAGCTGTGTACGCTGTTGTTCCCAAGCGACCTCGAAGTGCTAGCAGCAAGGAAGGTCAATGCGGACTTGATCAACTTCCGCACTGCGTTGGTTGAGCAACTGGCACAGTCAGCGGGGCCGCGGTCGTGGTCGATGGGGCATGTCGACCGGCCGAGTAAGCTGCCGCATGAAAAGAGTCCGACTGGGGAAGCTTTCGCGCACCTCCTCGCTATTGGTTGGGATAGTATAGAGACGCATCTTAAGGTCAAGGCGACAGACAAGTTTGTTGAGAGTATTGCACCTTTAAGGGAGAAGATGCTGCCGCCTATTCCTGGTTTGGAGATGAAACATGTTAGTTTTCAAAAGATTTGAGGGTTAGGTGTTCCAAGGAGGTAGGAATAATAGCGGAAAGAGGAAAAGAGAAAAAAGAAATGAGAGCGAGGCGCCGTGGATTAGTGTTGGGGGCTTGGATGTAATTTGAGCTGTGTTGCGTGGATCATAGAATGTCGGTGGTAATTAGAGCAGGTAGTGGAATGGGAAAGGGCTACTTGATTCAAAGGGATAATTGCGGGAATTGTTATTAGAAAGGCAAAAAAAAAAAATCAAATCACACGCCTTGGAATAAGATACAACAAGAAAGTAAAAGGAATAAAGGAATAACACCCTGAGAGAAATCGAAGGCAAAGAAAAAGATACTTCATTAACCACCGTAGACTTTTGGGCAGAAACCCCGCGACTCTCATAGCAAGCGTAGTAGTTTGCGCTGCTAGACTTAGATCCGGTGTTTCTCACTCTCTGGTCCATCCGTTAGAACCTGGGCACAAGAATCTTCATCCTGGGAAGGGGAATACGAACCAAGTCGGGAATAGAGCATGTACAGAGCCATCTGGTTGCACTCCGCGGTACCAGTAATAGTAACCAGACGCTCGTTGCTGCTCTCCTGGGGCTCGTTGATCTTGATGACACTGCCGCTGAGATGGCGTATCTCGTTAATTTTAGCACCACCCTTGCCGATGATGGCGCCAACCATGTCGTTGGGGATATAGATCTGCTGAGTCAGTGGCTGACCGGGCATGGCGCCGCCCACAGGAGCAGGGGCAGTTGGAGGTCCACGGCCAGGAGTCGGCTGCTGAGGACCGCCAACGTAGGGAGCGGGCTGGTGGGGTCCTGCGCCGCCGTAAGGAGCATGGGGAGCGGCGGGGAAGTGCATCGGAGTCTGAGGGACAGGAGCAGGAGCTGGCTGACCGGGCAGGTAGGGAACACCGAATGCACCGGCACCGGCACGGTTGGAGTGAGGGTGACGCTTGAAGGTCTCGGGGTGGCCATATTGGCCACCGGCGGGTTGAGGAACGTACGGCACAACCTGCATACCACCCGGGACAGCACCGGCAGGACCACCGCTGCGAGTGGCATATGCCGAAGCTGCGGGACCGCCGTAACGTTCAGACAGCTGCTCGACCAAGGTGACGGCGACATAGTAGGTAGCGATGTGGACAGCATCCGCAACACCGAGGATGACAAGGGACCGTTCGGTGGACAGAGGGAGACAAGCATCTGAGGCGTTCAGGCGAGCGCCGGAGGCCTCCTGGATCTCGCGAATGCGGCTACCACCCTTGCCGATGATGGATCCGATTAGAATGTGAGGAATTAGCAAACGCAGAGGGTACGTCTTGGACTGGGCTGTGGAAGGGGCCTCAAGGGGTTCATTGTTAAGGGTACGGATGATTAAACCAAACGCCTGATGTTTGTCATTAGCAATCGAATTTTCTTAACAAGCCAATTGAATGAGATGACTCACCTTGGCAGCGGCATCCTGGGGACCGCTGACGGTCAGGATACGCTCCACTGCACCACGAGAATAATCACTGACAGTGCACTTGGCACCGGACAGACGACGAATCTGGGACACGTTCTCACCTCCCTTTCCAATCACGGTGGCTGCCTCCGGGCTGGAGATCACAGCACGAATATGAACCCAGCTCGACTCGTCCTGGGGGGTTGGTCAGAGCCAGCTCGGTCGGCCTGGGAAGCTGTTGATTGGATGGGTTGGGTGTCGACAGGGAGACCCTTGCCATTGGGCGCATCGGGAACCACGGTATCTCCCTGGGTATCCTTGGCATCTTCGACAGCAGGAACCTGGCTACTGGATACATCTGTTTCCGCCTCGGCATCGCTCTTGACTACTTTGTCCAGCGCTGGGCGCTTGGCCTCAGGCTGGTCATTGGGGCCGGAGGGCGACGAAGGGTCCTCGAGAGGACGCTTGGTCGATTGAAGGTTGGATGGAGAAGCCGACATCTTGAATAGTCTGTGCTGCTGTTTGTTTTCACTTACAAGTGAAATCGGAAAGGTGTCAAGAATGAAATCTTCTTTTATGATCGTTTTATGTACACCAGAAATTCCCACGGAAGGTGCTGGTGCTGGCGATCTGAAGGGGAGATTGGTGCTTTGAGAAGATTGGAGAGGCTGTGAAGGAAAGGTGGTACTGAGGGAGTGCCGATGTAAGACGGGAGGAAGTGTAGATTCAAGTGTGAGAGGGCTTGCTGTCACGACCGGGGAAGCTTCACGGGGGGTTGCCGAGATGCTCGAATGGGATAAGAAAGCAGAAAGGGTGAAAATGGGATCCTTGGGTGAATGCGATGGGAAATAGGAAATGAGGCAAGTAAGATATCAAGCGCCAGAAACCGTTGCCTGCTGTACCACACTGTAGCCTCCGATAACGTCTGAATCTTAGGTCAAGGGTGTGGGCTAAACTCGAAATCGACGAGTTAATAGCTTGATTGACGAAAACCTGGTAAAAAGGCCAAGAAAGGCAAGAACAAGGAAATTGATGAAGGTGATGAAATGAAATCCCGGTGATTAAGGAGAAGAGGTGAAGTTGACGATGGGGGAAGTCGAGGGCGCGAAGCTTGGTCACATGACGTGCGTGGGCGTGATGCATCTCGTCTCGTGTTCCAATATTTTGATTGCCTCTTAAGGCTTCAGACATTTTACAGGTCTAAATGACAATATTTAAAAATATTCTTGTTACTTCTAGAAGGAAATATTTGAATTTCGCGTTACTCAATAAGCATGGATATCACAGACCAAACCGTGCAGAAGATCCAGAAATTCGCACAAAAACGCCAAGAAGCAGAGTATGAGGCGGCAAAAGAGCCTCTCAGTGCGACTGCATTGCATGTCTACACGCGACGTTTAGATGCAACCTTGCAAGGACTTCAAGAGCAAGTCAAGCGCCAGCAGGATGAATTGAACAAGGTATGTTATCTCATTATGGTAGAATGCCTTGTCTGATACGTGTTATAGTTGCGGGAGCTCAATTCCCTTGACCTAACAGAAACGGGCACCGATTCCTGGGCCCGTGTTTCTCAAGCCCGACGGGCCAAGAAAGCATACGACTCGCTTCTCAAGTCCAGCGATGAGCTCCCAGCAACAGACTCGGTGTTGCCATCACTTCTAGCTATAGAAGAAACTGCACGGCTTGTTCAAGACAACAAGGTCTCTGTCACAATGACCGCCGAACAGCTGTCTGTGGATCGCGAGCGCCTGCGAGTCGAAGAGGCCAACCTACGCGATTCTCAATCAATCGCAAGCGGACTCCGAGAGCGGATTCAGAGAATCCGCAATGCGAACATGAGAAAGGAAGAGCAGACTCCATCACAGGTGGCACGCGAGCAGCTTGCCCTGCAGAAAAAACAAAATAAAGAACTGGATCGCACGTCCGCGAGCCTCAAGCTCTCATTGGATAAGTTCATCGATGAGACTCTTGCTCCAATGCTTGCTGCTGAGGATCTGGGCGGCCCGACTGTGGGCGATGATTTCGAGGTGTCGGATGCTATGCTGAAAGCAGGTTATACGGCACACGGCAAGCCCAAGAAACAGAAGGAGCTGGCAGACACGGAAGACGGATCACAGCAGCGGATCGATAAGTTTATGAAACGCAACGCGGACGAGTCTTCCACAAACAAGAGGGAGGCAGCTGCAAAGGAGATGCATGGTCTCCTCGACGCAATGTTGGAGGCTAACTCCTACATCGATTTGGGGCGCGATTCGGCATCTTCAAGGTTCCTCGTAAGAGCCAAGGTCGCGCAGTTTCACCCTCGAGATGCACGGCGGCTTCGACTGATTGATTTTGGTCGCTCACTAGGGAATTGAATGTGGAGGTTTCCACGATTGAGTGAAAATATGGTATTATTAATTCGTGGATGTGTACATGTATCTTCTTATATCCTAGTCTTGTAAACATGTCAAATACCAGCCTGTACCTAAGAACCACCCTGGATGACTCCCTGTAAACCGTGAAAAAACACCTAGAGATGCTTGTGTAAACGCCAGATCAATCATAAACATCCCGACAAAAGGCGGGGAAGAACAATAACAAGACATCAAATAGGCATCATTCCAATCGTAGACTTGGGGGTTTTGGCCCTGGCGTTCTTTCGCGGCGCAGATGACTGGCTTGTAGAACGATCGCCGGATTTTGCTTTTGATCGCGCGCCTTTGCCCTTCCAGCTGCCAGTGGAGCCTTGCTTCCGTCGTGCTGGTCGTTTGCCACTGGCAGGCTGGCGCTTGCGACTCTTGGGGCCAGAAGGCGCAGGGCCGGATTCCCAGTCGTCACCAGAGTCATAACCCGGAGATCCTGCTGGAGGGAAGTAGCGGCTTGTGATATTTTCGCCTGTATTATTTGGTGCGGTCGAGACGGGATTGTCCAGATTGAAGGCGGAAACCTCATCCACGAACAAGTCGTCGTCACTATACTCATCGCTGCTGCTGAGATTGATGACGTTATGGTGGTTGGGATCCGGAACAACGCCGCTGGTCTCTGCTTCTTGTGTCATTTCCAGGTAGCGCCGCTTTGCATTATCAACCAGCCCCAGAATCTGCCGGCCGTAGCGTTGCACCTTATCTTGGTCGATGCCCGGGATCGCAGAAAGCTCAGTGAGATCTATTTCGTTGTTAGTGAGGTCTTCCAATGTCATCGAAGAATGAATATTTACTTTTCGGGAAGGATATTCCCATATCACGTAGCACCTGGTCAGAAAACGGCTGGCACCGAAGTCCCTTCTTAACAACAAGCTATAGCAATTGTCAGTTTCTTGATGGTGTGTACCAATAGTCAACTATGGAGATTACTCACGTCTTGAAGCATGATTTTGGCATGCTCTTGGAAGTCCTCCACGACTACACGATGCATATGATCAAGTCGATCCAACTTCTGATCGCTAGTGATTGGAGGACCCATCTCACGTGTATTTGCGCGGCGAGACTTGCCGGTGGTTCGAATCGGTTCAAAGCCATCACTATCCTCACCGGCCGAGGGATGTGCGGCTGGAGCGCCGGTATATTGATAACGGTCAAGGCGGCGGTCTTGCGCAGCTTGCACTGGAGAAGAGACCATGGTGGACTGAGGATCGCTACCGGAATTGCCAGACTTTTTCTTCTGCGCGGCACCCGAGGGCTTGCTCTTGGCTTTAGCCTTACTATTCGGAGAGGCGCGAACCTGTAGTTTCATTTGCCGCTGGCCACTTTCATACTCTGCTGCACGGCGGCCAAGAATAAGATACTGAACAGCAAAATCACTTTTATTGATCACGTTGTCTTCGGCCAATGCGTCTTCACCCAGCAGCCGGTAGAACAGGCGTTCGGCTGCTGCACGGTCGAGGTCAGATCCTTTTCCATACCCCGGCATCTTGCGATGCTCTGGAGCTTTAGGCCGTTTGCAGTCTCCACGAAGTATGTCACAGCAGTAGAGCACAGTCACCTTCTCCTGCGCGTTCTGAAATTGTCGCACAATCTTGATAGCCCAGGATGCCTGCTCAGTAAAGTCATGAAGCTCAAACATCAAACCAGACTTGCAGTTATCACAAGTGTTGTTGCAGTCCTCTCGGCGGAAGTATTCCGCAAAATAGGCGAGGACTTGCACTCGTCTGCAATCACTGCGATTCTCACAAAATTGAACCACATTTCGCAACATCTGTTTTTGACGGCCTTTTTGCTGACCATTGCCATCTCCTGCGTCAATCATCCGCTTCAAAGTTGCTGTGTCTTTGTAGCCGTAGTAAAGATAGCAGCCAGAACGCTTGCCGTCTCGACCAGCACGACCGGTTTCTTGATAATACCCCTCGAGACTCTTTGGGATACTGTGGTGCATGACGAATCGCACATCGGCCTTGTCAATTCCCATTCCGAATGCAATGGTGGCAACGATAATATGTACTCGGCCCAGCTGCCATTTGCTTTGAGCTTCCGATTTTGCCTTTGATGCCATACCCGCATGATAAGAAAGTGCCTTGAGGCGATACTTTTCCCGTAGATCCTCTGCAACTTTGTCGCAAGTCTTTCGCGAAAGGCAGTAGATAATTCCACACTGATTCCGGTACGAGCTTGTAATGGTTTCTGCCATGCTGGCCAAAACTTCATCATTCTTTCCCTTCGGCCGTACCTCGTAGGTGAGATTGGGACGGTTGAAACTCTGCAAGAACACTTCACAATCGGTGATTTTGAGGTTGTGCATCACATCAACTTTGACATTCTCAGTGGCGGTAGCTGTGAGGGCCATAACCGGTACACCAGGGAACCTGGCTCGAACCTCTCCCAGCTCTTTATAGTCAGGTCGGAAATCGTGTCCCCATTGACTGACGCAGTGGGCCTCGTCGATGACCAGACGTGCGAGTCTGTTTCCTCGATGAAGCTTCTCAAGGGCTCTGATCAAGGCTTGGCTTTTACTGAGCATCTCAGGAGTGATGTACAGGACCTCCATCCCCTCGCCACCTGCATTTGAGAGCTGGCTCATGATCCAGGATTTTTCCGCTTGGTCGGTGTCGCCATTAACCATAAAGGCCTTAACGTTCAGTTTCCGGAGGTGTGATACCTGATCCTCCATCAGACTCAGCAATGGAGATATCACGATCGTCACTCCCGTGGTGCGTCCGCCCGTAACCACAGAAGGTAATTGATAACATAGCGACTTTCCTCCTCCAGTAGGCATGAGAATGAAAGTATCTTTGCCGGCAAGTGTTGCATCAATGGCTTCAAGCTGATTGGGTCGGAATCCGCGGAGGTGGAATCGATCTTTCAACACTTTCCTTACTTCCTGAGACCATGGATGATTTGACCAAAAGGCGCTATGACCGGGCGACTTCTTCGGGACGGGGGCCTTGGGGACGTTTCCAGACGTCTCTGCAAAAACCTTGCGGGTTTGACTAGCTTGCTCGCGAGCGGATATCTGATGAGCACCATCGAAGTCCCCTGCCGCCTCTAATATCTCATCGTCGCTGACATTCCAGTCGAACTCATCAAGGTCCATAGAATCCAATGGTGGGGAGCCCATATTCCGAGAAATGGAGTTTTCATAGCTATCCGGCCGATGTGTCTCTTTGATTTTTCTAGAACTTGTTGGAGGTAAACGTTGTTGGCCACAGAATTCTGAGTTCAAGTCGGCCCGCGAAGAAGAGAAAAGAGGGGGCTCCCGTGTGACTGCGTGAGCTTCGAAGGTAGGCTGAGTATGTTTTATGGGAGGAGGGTCGGATGGACAATCGTGTGTCAACTCAAGGATGTTGGCTTGGGATAGAAGCTGACAGATCTCTTTTTCGGTTTGCTCCAACTCTGCCTCGACTGCTCGACTCTGCGCAAGCTCTTCTGGCATAGTCGTGGGGTCTAGACCTTGGGAGATCACACGTATCAGGTTTTGCTTCAGGTCTTGCTTACGAGAAACACTGCCCTTGTGTGTGTTTTGATGCTTTTGCAGCAATTCAATCATCTCAATCTGAGCGACAAGTGTCTTGTTCTCAGCGATCAATTCTGGGACTGGCTGACCCTCCATGGCCTGCTGATAAACTATCTCAGAATTCTTCTGCAGAGTAGACCTCAATTTGGAGATTGCATGCCCAAAAGCATGGTTTCCAAGGGCCAAAAACTTCAAAAGATCCGGATCCTTTTCCTGCGAGTTGGACGGCTTCGACCAAGGTGTTGACGGAATAGGGTCTTCAGTAACTGCCCTTTTCTTCGACTGAGTTGACGGTTGTGCTGTTGGAAACGCTGCTTTGGGCGTAGATCCCAATCGCGAATGCTTGATCTCGATCTTTTTCTCGTCCGCCGCTGGACTCATCTCGGGGAGTATTGGGTACAGACTCTCCTCCGCATCCAGGATCATCTCATCCGCGGGATCTTCATTGTCGACCCAGTCGTCAAAGAGACCCTCATCATCATCATCATCTGAATCCGCAATCACTCGTTTCACATGGCTCCGTGGGGCAACAGGTGAATGATTGTCAGGTCGTTTCACCGCGCTTGGGGTGTTTGTTTTAGTTGTTTGAGCTGTCTGGCGTGGGATTGTGGGCTGTTCCGATACAATGTCTCTAGCGGTGGGAGGTCGAGCCGATTTCGAGGGAGTTCGCACTTTCGCCGCATGTTTCGATGGGGAAAGAAGATCGGACGTGTATTCGTCACTTTTGCGCTTTTTGCCGCGTTTCTCACGAGTTCCGCATGGTGTGCTTTCTTCTGCCCATGATATGCGCGGCTCAACAGCCGGGATAGTGTCCGAGGATGATAGTATAGATCGATCAAGCTCCCCTGTTAGATCAATCGATTCAATATCATCGCGTCCAGACGCGTGGAAAGTGTCTGGTCGCAATGGAGTTGACTTTTGCCGGGCAGGTTTGTATGATGATAATGGTGGTTCTCGGAAGGACTCTGATCATCGTGCAGGTTGTGTCAGTCTAATGATTCCCACAAGATTCGTCATACTCGGGCACATACCGCGAGCTATGCTTGATTGTTTCGGCGAAGCCCGTTTCTTTGTAGTTGACGGAGTACTGGTGGGGACCGCGTCGTGTCGGCTCAGTATTCGAGGCTTGCTCGCCGATTGGGGTAGCAATCTAGCCATTGAAGCGTCGGTCTCATCCTCCACGTCTTCAAGGATATCATCGAGGGTCGTGAATTCGTCGGTGGGGAAAATCGCTTGCTGCAATACGTGATTGTTGCGTTCAGGCAAGCTTGTTTGAGCCAGAGGAAGGTGGAGAGGTTTCCCTTGGGTTATCAACCATTTGAGATGAGTTGCTAAGTTATTCTTCGTCATGGGGGCCTATTGCTGTCATGGCCGTCGTTGGAGCAATGGGGACAATCGCGAAACCGATATGGACGCGTCGGCACGTGAGCGGTCAAACAAATCGATATATGGCAGCAAGTACGTTCAACTGAAAGTTACACGGTCAAATTGGACACAAAAGATAAAACTTGTATACAATTTTTCATTATTATTGCATGTTCTTATATTTACAAAGGTTATATTTGTACAAATTCTAGTGGTGCAAGCAACACACCTACAGACGTAGATGTATAGAGGGGGGGCAATTCAGTGTGGGGAAAGGCATAATTTTTGCCCCACGAAAAGCAGATCGCGAAAACTCACCTGTATCCAACATTGAGCCAAAATGGCTAAAAAGAATAAGAAGTCCGCCGAGCACAAGGACCGTGTAGCAGCGAAACAGACAAAGAAGACCGCACAGAAAGAAAAGAGATCCAAAGCCAAGGGTAAAGATGCAGACAGCGATGCTGAAGACGCAGACCTGGATGCCATTCTGGCCCAGTACGCCGAAGAACAAGCCAAGTTCTTGAAGGTCACTGAAGTTCCTTCCGAGCCGCCTGTACCACGATCATCTTCAACCGTGCTAGCATCTCCGTCGAACCGAAATGAGCTGTTGCTTTACGGTGGAGAGTACTTTGACGGAACGCATGCCACTTTCTTCAATAATCTTTTCGTCTATTTGATTGATCGCGGTGAATGGAGAGAAGTGACTAGTCCTAACACTCCCCTTCCTCGAAGTGGCCATGCCTGGTGTCGGGGAGGAAACTCCGGAGGCATCTATATGTTTGGAGGTAACATTGTCTTGCTTGATATGTTGAAATTGTTTGTGCAGAAACTAACTATCAGCAGGAGAGTTCTCGTCGCCGAAGCAAGGCACGTTCTATCACTACAATGATTTTTGGCACCTAGACACAGCCACAAGAGAATGGACCCGCCTCGAGTCTAAAGGCAAAGGTCCTCCCGCTAGAAGTGGTCACCGGATGACCTATTTCAAGGTAAATTTTTCGATTTCGGCATCAGTCTTTCATAATAGAGCTAATACCAAGACAGAACTACATCATCCTCTTCGGTGGATTCCAAGATACCTCCCAGCAGACTAAGTACTTGCAGGACCTGTGGATCTATGATTGCAATCAGTATACCTGGTCCAACCCCACGTTGACTCTTGCTTCCCAAAAGCCCGATCCTCGCTCATCATTCTCCCTGCTACCACACGAGACTGGAGCTGTTCTCTACGGAGGCTACTCCCGAGTGAAGGCAGCTGCGGGTGGTGGTAAGCAAGGAAAAGGTAGTGGCCCCCAGAAGATGGCTCTCCGGCCCATGGTTCACCAAGATACTTGGTTCCTGAGAATCACACCCCCTGCACCTGAGGCACCATCGTCAGCGGCGCCTACAGTCCGATGGGAGCGACGAAAGAAGCCCGCTAATACGCCCAATCCGCCCCGTGTTGGCACCACCATGGCATACCACAAGGGCCGTGGAATCATGTTTGGCGGTGTCCACGACGTGGAACTGACTGAGGAGGGCATTGACAGCGAGTTCTTCAATACCCTATTTGCTTGGACCACCGACAGAAACCGTTTCTTCCCGTTGACTCTGCGACGTGCTCGCGCACCCGGCAAAAAGCAGCAGGCAAACCAAAATGCCAAGTCTAAAAATAGGGGCAAGGCGGACGAGGAAGAGCTTTTGGCAAACCTTAGAGCCCTTGAAGCTAAAGTCGGAATTCGAGATGAAGATGACGACGATATGGAAATAAGCACGCCCCAACCCGAGGAGCCTGTGGAGCCCGCAAAGCCCTCAGTTGTTCGCTTTGAAATGCCCCACCAGCGATTCAATGCCCAGCTAGCAGTACAAGATGATACCCTGTTCATCTTTGGTGGTACTTTTGAGAAGGGTGATCGAGAGTTCACTTTCGACGATATGTATTCCATTGATCTGGTCAAACTGGACGGCGTCAAGGAGATATTCTACAGGGAGCCCGAGAACTGGAACCTCTTGAACGAGGCCGAAGACAGTGACGAAGACATGGATGATGAAGACGACGATGATGAAATGGACGAAGAAGATGATGCTGACGCTGAAGCGATGTCTATTGATGCTGCTTCGCCTGCCCCGACAGATGTGACGGTGCCATCTGTTACCAAGGACATGGAACAACTCGAAGTTGAGGAAGAGCAGATTGTCAATGACAGCCGACCTTTGCCTCGGCCGTTCGAGAGCTTGCGAGAGTTCTTCAGTCGCACTTCTGAAGAATGGCAAAATATTGTGATGGAAATTGCCAAGGAGAGGGAACAGTCCGGTGACAAGACAATCAAGGAACTGCGCAAGGCAGCTTTCTCTATGTCCGAAGAAAAGTGGTGGGATAGCCGAGAGGAGGTCATGGCTCTGGAAGATGAGCAAGAGGAAGCGGGTATTGGAGAGGTTGTTAGCATGGCTGACCGTACGGAAAATTCGGGAGGAGCTGGTCGTCGCCGCTGATACCCTCTATAAATATGTCAAAAGAATTTATGCATTGAATGTCCTATTTTTGAGATTCTAAGTCTGCTCTTCTTGTGTCCACGTATTAATATTCCCCTAGCCCTGAGCAACCTTTGCCAACACGTCTGTCACCAGCGCAAAGTCTCGCTCGACATCAACTCGCCAATTCGAAATTGCAATGCGGCAAGCAGGGGATCCATCCCAGCTAGTACCGGAGACGAACATTCGCGAACTCTCGTTAATCTTGCTTCCTAGCTCGCGGTTCAAGCTCTCATCATTTGCGCGCAACAAAACAGACATAAAGGTCTGATTAAGCAGCTCAGATTTAGACGATGCTTCTGGTAAAGCTGTATACGCAGAATGCTCGAAGACCCATCCGTAGATTTTCCGGGCAAGTCTTGTCTGACGCTCCAGCATTTCTTGATATCCAGACCTGCCATACGACAACAGCGATGCATACACCGGCAATGCTCTGAACCTTCGTGAGTTTTCAATTCCAATGTTCAAAGGCGAGGGGATGGAAGGGCCATCGGAGCTTCCAGCAGTCAAGTAGGCTGCATTTGCATTTTGGAATACTTGCGATGCCACATTCGGGTGTCGAGTAAAGAAAAAGCCACAGTCGTAGGGAACGTTGAGAAGCTTGTGGCCGTCACCGGTAATCGAATCAACCAGTTCTATTCCTTCGCAACCCTTCTTGACTGTTGCAAACTCCGGGCTATCATCAAAAACACGGGCAAATATTCCGAATGCTCCATCGGCATGCATCCAGGCTCCGTACTTGTCGCACAGCTGGCGAATTTCTCTCAAATCCTCACCGCTTGTTGCAAACCGACCAGTATTGACCTCCCCACAAGATATCGCGACAATGCTGACCTTGTCTGTTCTCGCAAGTTCTTTTTCAAGCTTATCAATATCAAAGCGGAGCGGGTCGTCGGCTCGGCAGATGTTGTGTACGTTGGAACGACCGATGCCTAGCACACCAGCGGCTTTCACGACGGACGAGTGTGGCAGTGTTGATAAAACTTGCACTCCAGAAAGACCCAGTGCGTTCAATACCTCAAATAGGCCCTCTTCACCAACACTCTGGAGATGACAGCCTTGTCTCTCCGCCGCCTTTTGCAAAACAAATTCGCGCCCACATGCTAGGCCGAGGATATTGCTCCCCGTGGCACCAGTAGTGAATGTTCCATTATGCCACTCAGAACGCTCTAGTCGGAAGAGATCCAAAAGGAGACCAAGTGCGTTGTACTCTACATCGGTGACAATCGAGTGATTTGGGAGATGCACCTGGACGTTCTGGTCGTAAACAGATACAACGTTGTCCGCGAAGAGCGCTGCCGGGGTAGTTCCGCCAGTGATGAAGCCATAGTAGTTGGCACTTAAGCTTCCTCCGTTGAATGCCGGGACAATATCGTCGACAATGTGTCGCTGGACAGATTCGAGACTGGATCCTGTATCTGGAAGTGTCGCGGGGAGAGAAGCTCTAGCTCGCGCTAGATTCTGGGCACTAGGGAGAACGGCCGACTCCCACGGGCCCTGGGCAGCCTTCCATAGACCTTGTTGGAATTCTGTCTGCATGACGGATATGTGTGTCTTGAGAGAATCAAATAGTCTCGCCAACTTATACCAATGCCGGGATTTCGGGATTTGGAAATTTGAGGCTCCCTATAAGGTTCGGCTGTACCTCCCAAAAACAGATCTTACATATATAAGCACCTAGAGAAAGATCTAAACAAACATTGGAAGACACGCTCAGAGGTAACGTTGGAAGCCTAAAGAGCGGGATGAGTGGGGCAATTGGAATCCGGAGTCCGATCCGAAGCTGTGATAGCGTGTGATAACATGTGATCTTATAACCTTGGAAGTCTTCGAGAAGGTAATGGCAGGAGATGGAGGCCAATACTCGAGATGCCCATAGAGTGGTGATATTTGCTTGCCTCAGGCGCCGACCGAGTTTGTCTGTGACCTCTCTTTGGGGGATGTACGGAGTACTGTCCAGGTCATCTCCAGGGCTGATTCTACCCAGTTTCTCACCCTCACCAGGCCCTTTTTTTTCGTATTGCCCCTGGCATCTTATTTGATGTTAATTGCGCCTCATTATCCTGTCAAGTTCGAGAAGAAGGTACAGGGCAGATATTTCATCTTGACTTCACCTATTTGTTGGTCAGCACAAGTTTCCGTTACTCTCCGAATCTACGGCAGTGCACAAGTCCTTACTTGACGAGATTGAACAACCTTATCTTGTATATCATGTATGCCTATTCCAGGGGTACATTGTCGGCCCTGAGCAAGGAGAATCTGTCTCGGATAACGAAAATAAAATGAGTGGGACCAATGCCTATGATCAAGGCCATGGCCTTTTCCAGACCATGTCGTTGTCCAAAAGACGGAGAAAAAGACCCAAAAAAAGCAGTTCAAAATTCCAAATTCAGTCGCGCATGCCCCAGAAAAGCAAATCCACGCCAAGCCATATCCAATCCGGTGTATCTAGGTTCAATGATCGGCGCAGATCACTCTTCTTATGCATGTAAATATTCCACATTCTATCATCGCGCGTCTCCTGCGTTCCACATGAAGCCCCTGGGGTGAAGATAACGCGGGGCTTGGTCCTACATCGACAGTCACGTTCAAAACTTTCTCTCATGCAACAATGGCTGCCACTTCAGTCTTCACCTACTCCTGAAGCACCTATCGTTGAAAGGCCGACAATCATGCCTAGCCATATCAAGTTTGCAGAGCCGACCTCGAATAAAGCCAATAAAGACCGCGCTAGGGGGCGCAACCAAGAAAAGGGGCCGGCACAGAGAGCACCTTCTCCAGGAAGTGAAATCGTTTACCCGACAGGATGGAGACTGGTGCTCACCACCACAGGGTATATGCTCAGTCAAGTGCCATATGGGTTTGGATTACGAAAACTAATGATCTGCAGACTTTTGATTGGCTTTTTCCTCTCTAATTTGGATGTCACAATTGTAAGCTCGGCTCTCACGAGTATCACAGATGACCTGGAAGGCTTCGAGAAGAGAAGCTGGATTATTACTGGATATCTGGCCACCTACACAGGTATGATCTAAAATGCGATTCTATAATCATTCCTTTTCACTTTGGCTTTTTTCTCCCTAAACATATGTATCCGAAAATACCTTCCTACATCTGTATCTCTCTCATTACTGATGTCACAATGTCCTAGGGTCTATGGCAATGTGGACGAAAATCAGCGATATAGTTGGCAGGAAACAAACCACAATCGCTTCTCTTGTTATTCTGCTCGCGTTTTCCATTGGGTGTGGGTGTGCTCATACAGTCAATCAACTGTAGGTCTAACGTAGTTCTGCGCTCATTTTCTGTCCAAAGACTAACTACGAGGCAGCATAATACTTCGAGCACTCCAAGGAATTGGAGGCGCCGGTGCATACGCATTGACAATTCTATGCATCTACGAGATAGCTCCTAAAACGAAGCTTCCAACCTACAGCAGTCTCATGTCATTCTGCCTTGTTTTTGCATCTTTGATAGGCCCAATAATTGGGGGTGCTCTTGCAGAAGGCTCAGCCTGGCGGTGGACCTTCCTTGTCAAGTATGTGAATGCTCGGCATCTGTGTTGAAAATGATGCTAATTAAATCACCAGTGCACCGCTGTGCGTTATTGCGATCGTTGCTATCATCGTTGCGATGCCCAAAAACTTTGGCCTTGATCAGCACACTCCTTCATTTCGAACACGAGCCTCATATCGCTCATTTGCTAATCTGGATATAATGGGATCGCTGTTGATGATGGCTGGCTCATTTTTAATAGTCGCTGTCTTGAACGAAACCAACCTGGCATTCTCATGGTCATCAAGAGACGCGATTGCGCTCCTTGTGCTCACTGGACTTTCCTGGATTGCTTTCTTTACCTGGGAATGGTACATCTCTGGCATACCGGGCAAAGACCCCATATTTCCCAAGCGTTGGCTTTTTGATCGTCCGTGGATAGGAATTCTTATGTGGGTCAATTTAAATCTTACCACTATTATGCACCTTCTTCTGACACGCTTTCAGCTCTTCGTTTGTCATCGGCGCACCTTACAACGTCGTTCTGGTATATGTTCCACAGCAAGCCCAGCTTCTGTTAGACAAGTCACCTTTGGATGCCGGTATCTATTTGATTGGGTATTCCGCTATTGCGGCAATTGCAGCGGCGATTGTCAATATTGCCAGCTCTAGGGGACGCATCCCGTTTATTTATACTCTGCTCGTGGGCTGTACAGTCCACACTGTCGGCATTGGGCTTCTCTCGACCATTGCCACCTCTAGAGGCTTCCACGCAACAGATATTGGTTATCTAGTCATTGCTGGAACAGGAATGGGTTTGACAATGGGCATCTTGGTACTATCAACACCATACATAGTCGAGGACAGAGACCTGGGTATGTGTTCTCCCGGGAAACTTCCTGATATTAAGGTGGCTGGTACACTAACTGGCCCTTCGCTTTTTGTTGCAGCAATTGCCACTGGCACCGTGGTCCAACTCCGTTTTCTTGGCGGTGCTATTGGTCTTGCCATTGCATCTAATATATTAAATGGCCGTCTAGCGCAGCGTTTGCAGGGTGTTATGACGTCGCACGAACTGCATCTATTCCTTGAGAACGTGAGAACGATAAAAACTCTACCTGCCCATCTACAGGCCGATGTGAAGAATGTTTTCGCCAGCAGTTTCAATACGCAGCTCATGGTCATGATCGGATTTGCGGCTGCTCAGCTACCGGCGACTTTACTACTACTAAAGGCAGGCCGGCAGCTTGCGGCCAACAAACACTCGAGTACGGCTTCAGGATGAAAACGGCCAGTTCTTTATTTTCTATTTTGGAAATGCTTCGTTTTTTTGGACAGGATGCAGAAGTTATAACTAAATACTCTTTCGCTCAACAGTTAGGCCAAGGTCAATTTGCTACAGTATATCCATCCCACATACTAAAATGTAATCCAATTTAAGCACATCTCTTGAGAATATATCATGAAGAAGACATCGAGCATAGGGTCCAACATACATGTATTCGACACTAGACATAATTATAAATCTAGACAGTACTGGTAGTATAGCCAATGTATATTTTGAAAGTCTTCCTAGTCATATATACAATATGCTACTCATCTCTTTGTGAATGATTTATGAAACCAAAGTAGACAAAAGAAAAACAAATGTTCTTTTGCTCGGCTGGATGATTGCAGGTGAGCAACAAGGCCCAGACTAAAAAAATGGTGCGCTTCTCCACAAAGCGGCTGTGAAAGCGGCTTATCGCCAACGCGCCCTCATTTTAGTCCGCATCAACATCCCGCAAAGATGGCTGCAAAACTGATCGACCGACGTTTCCATAATGTTTCAGGTCTCTATCGTCTTATCCATTGTCATTAATTAGTCCACTGGTTCGAAACTAACAAATTTAACCCCATTCAGGCAAACTTCGGGTTTCCGAGTTGTTCTTCGACGTCCCTGTGGACTACAACAAGCCCGCTGGGGACACGCTGAGGCTCTTTGCACGAAGCATCAGTCGATTGAACAAACCTATTGAGCCTGCTAAGGAAGAGGGCAAGGAAGCCAAAGAGGGTAAGCTTCCTTGGCTGGTCTACCTGCAAGGTGGCCCTGGCTTTGGATGTGGTGCCCCGCAGTCTTACCCCTGGGTTGAATTCATGCTCAGCAAGGGTTATCAGGTGTGTCATGTCTTTTACACATCCAACTTGTAGATTGATGCTCAACTATGCTCTAGGTGCTCTTTCTGGATCAACGAGGCACTGGCCTCAGTTCCACTCTCACAGCGGGAACCCTTGCCCGCCAGGGAGATGCCATCAAGCAGGCTGAATATCTCAAGAACTTCCGTGCGGACAGCATTGTCCGTGATTGCGAGGCCATTCGTGGTGTTTTGACACAGGACTATCCAGCTGACCAGCGCCGGTGGAGTATCCTTGGACAAAGTTTCGGTGGCTTCTGTGCCGTAACTTACCTGTCAAAGTTGTATGTGCTGAAAGTCACTGATCTGCATGCATGGATCTCGAACATTCCGCTGATGCTTCTTAACTTCCAGCCCGGAGGGCCTGAGAGAAGCTTTCCTTACTGGTGGCCTTCCCCCTCTTATCAACGGCCCGGATGCTGTCTATGCGAAGACTTATGGTGCGCTCCCCTGTTTTCTCGCGGTTTATTCGCGACACTGACACAAAAGCAGAGAAGGTCAAGGAGAGAAACGAGGCTTACTACGAGAAATACCCCGAGGATGCGGACCGTGTTAAGAATATCATGCAACACTTGACCCAAAGCAAGGTTACATTGCCATCCGGATCGCTCACTCCGTCTCGCTTCCAGCAACTGGGCATTTTGCTCGGGTTCCACGGTAAGACCCTCGATTCGACAATCAGCCTATTAAAGCTAACACGACCTAGGTGGTATTGATAGTCTGCACGGTAAGATTTGCTTTGTCTCGTGAAGGTCGCAGCAAAAATACTAACTGAGTCTAGATATTGTTGTCAGAGTCACCAATGATTTGGAGATGTTCGGATTCCTTACTCTGCCGACTCTTTCTCTGATTGACGGTAATGGCGGTATGGACAAAAATATCATTTATGCCATTCTGCATGAATCAATCTATTGCCAAGGGTAATGATAAGCTCCCCGTGCTGTCCATTTTCCGTAACATATCCGTGTCTAACAATGAATATAGAAAGCCGTCGCTTTGGGCTGCAGACCGTTTGCGCGCCAGCAACCCGCGATTCCAGATCAATGACTCGCTGCCTGAGATCTACTTCACCGGCGAGATGGTAAATATTTTAACCTAGTCCCTAATGCTTTTAACAGATCTAACACCAATTCTCACATGCAGGTCTTCAAGGATATGTTCGATTCCTACTCGGAACTCTCCGAGCTCAAGGAAGCAGCTGAAATCCTGGCTAACACAGACGAATGGCCGGCCCTATACGACGAGGCTCAACTGGCTAAGAACAAGGTCCCGGTCTATGCTGCGACCTACATCGATGATATGTATGTTCACTTTGATCTGGCCACAGCCACTGCTGCCAGGATCAAGAACTCCAAGCAGTTCATCACCAACACCATGTATCACGACGCGCTGCGCAGCAAGTCGGGCGAGGTCATGCGTCAGCTCTTCAACCTGAGAGAGGACTCGATCGATTAGTCCACACGTGCGTCTTTCATTTCGTACATATTATGGATATTATAGCAACATGATGAACTCAGAATATCAATCAGTAAAATTTACGAGAGGATTTGAGATGTAGAGGTAGACTAAGATACGTTACAACGGAGCATATATATATGTCGAGTTGGCGCGGATGTAGTATTGGGTATAATAAATCACTAGAGAGTATATACAGAGAACTTTCTTCTTTGTCTGAGTGTGAAAGTATCGAGGGATATCAGAAAACCTGTTTGATATGATCAGCGTTGCTATAATAACCATGGAGAGAGAAAGTACGTACCGCACCGCCAATGATGAATAACCTCTCTTCCTCACGCTGTACCCACTGAGCAATCTTGCTAGCGCTTTGGGCAAGTGCATTTCGATTAGTGTTCGGCTCAGCAATACAATAGAATTCGAATACCGGGGTTACCCATCCAAACGAAGTGGCTGACCGCGAAACGCAGTGATGAACTTTGACGTGGGTATTCTTGGCATGGATGCTCGAGTGCAAGTTGTTGTACATCGACATCAATCTGCAGACACAGTCAGAATCATTTGATATTACAAGCATCGAGAGATAGCAGGGGAATATTGCTCACCTTCGTCGTCGAGTAACAGAGGAAAATTCAGGGGCATACGATGACATAGTGAATTGTACGTTGGCGCGCGATTTGTAAAGGAAATGATGGAGCACAGTTCCAGGAACTATATCAGTAGTCGCGGGTCGGCCATTGTCAATTGCCGTTTTGATCTCCTTTAGACTGCCGTTTTTCTCCATTTGCTATTGTATCATTAGTACCAGATGCCACAATCAATCGCGTAGAACCATTCAATCTCACCTCCACAAGAGCATCACGCATTCCTTGCATCTCAAAGAAAGCCTCTTTGTCGGGACTGATAAGAACAATGGCAACAGACTCGTCTTTGGTGATCTCTGCACTATTTTCGATGTCGTCGCGAATGTCAAGAAAGCTCACATACATGTAGAGATAACCGCTGCTGTTGAAGCCGGGCAAACAAACGGGAATCCAACTTTCTCCACCGCCAGCTTTAACTCCGTCGGCTTCAAAAACCATGTTGAATAAGAGCTGTAGATCGCCTGGATGTAAGGAGTGCTTCTTCGGTCGGACAACGCTGACGAGTCGTCCGCCAGCCACGAGCAAGCCGTATAGAAGACTACTAGCTTTAGTTTTCAGAAGTGCATTGTTGATGGCTTGTCGGTGTTGTTTGCGGATTTTCAGACACTCCAAAGCCGACAGCAACGTCGATGGAGACCCTCGCGTGAAACTATCTGCCAGAGATGAAAGAAGGGACTCCGAACCCTGTAAGGGCCGTGATAGATCAGTAGAAGGCCGCACAGAGAAAAGATGGGTTAAAGAAGGCAATGTTAATGTAGACAGGATCTGCATATACAATGCTTCTAATTGAAGCCGGAGCTGGTTGTCGCTCTCCATCATACGGCTGATTGCAACAAGGTGCAAAGATCCTCGTGTCAATACAACAAATCTAGTGTCACCAGCGGAGAAGCCTCGCAGATGGTCACTTGCTTCTTCATAAAATGAAATAATGGTCTGAATGACCCCGACATAGCCAGATATCAGGCCGCTGTCACCATGCCTCGTCCAAATCGGCTTACCAGCGGCGGAGAGGATCACATAGTGCTTGCGCTTTGCTTTCCACCGTTGAAGTAGGAGGTCTGATATGCGTTAGTATTATGAAACCAAGATACCATTGATTATTGACCCAAACCTTCGTTATCACCTTCCACGTTAAGCTCGCCAACTGCTTCAAATTCGCTTAGAATTCCATCGTCATCTATATCGTCGGCCGCAAATTCAGGGAAGTCAAGTAGACCTGTAGCTTCTTGTCTTTGGCTACCGGGCGCTGTAGCAGCGAAGTCCATGAACAGCGATTCAACGTCACCGGAATCGCCATTGGGGACTGAGCTTCTAATGCTAGCGGAGTCACCAGCTTCGCTGCCCCGCGCGCTCGCCAACTGGCTGAGGCTCGCCCTTGCCTTTGGGCCCTGAGCTAGACCGCGAACAGCCAGTGTAGAGTAGGCGCTCTCAGAATGTTCAGGTAATTGTGTCTCAATATCGGCCCGTGAGATAGCCGTCGTTGCCTCTGCCTGTAAAGCTGCCCGGGAACCCGTTTCATCGTGCAATAGACTCAACGTATTTGGTCGCGGGGGTAAAGGTGGTCGCTCTCCCTCTGAGCTGTCACTGCACCCATCATAATCTGGGATTGATGACCTGGAAAGATACGGTTGCTTGGAGGTCTCGACAGGCTGTTGGCCGTCGGTCTTTGGGTCTTGCTGTGTATTCATCCCCGCTGCGGGCATGCGCTTTTTGACGCGGTCGCTCGTCGCGGGTCTTCAGGCCATTAAATGCTCATTTTTTATTTCAAATATTGGGGATCACTGATCAGTTGTGATTGCCGATTTGATAGTTGCTGGGCGTTGACGTCGGCGAGTCGGAGCTACCCCAAGGCGGAACAAAACAATTGAACGTGGCCGCCTGCGTGTCTCCTAGTCAACATTCAACCGCCAACTCCCTTTCTCACAGGGTCATCATCGATGTCCTAAATATGACGGAGGGTAGTTCAGAGCTTTCACAACAATTTTACGTCCGTTATTGGCACCATGAGCCTT